GGTGCAAATTACTGACCTCTGTCATCATTTTAAGTGGGGGAACTTGCACAATCGGTGGCTGACTAAATACTTTTTTGCCCCACTGTAACTACTACACACCAAAAGCTGCTTAAAGACATAAAAACATTATGAAAATTTGCAGAATCGTCTGGGTCTCAACTAGCGTAAACCACCTTTCCGATGAAGACGATGAATTGGAGAGACAGCTTGTCATAAAACCATCTTGTGAGTTAGTGGATTAGTTTGCGACCACTCTCTCTCATTCATTCATCTTAGATCTGATGAGCCAGATCTGAGATGATGCAGCAGCCCTGGTTATAGTAATCCATTACCAGCATTTGTTACACGTTGATTACCAGCCTGTGAAAGTCATTCTACGTGACATTGTCGAGGTCTCCAAAGAACTGCTGATGAACTTCTTGGTAATGTCTGGAGTGATCTATGCACTACATCTATTACTATAACTATTACCAAGGGACTAATTAACACTGTATTCACCCAGAGCACAGTAGTCTGGAAGCTGGTAAACCGTTCCCTGATTTAGAGACTCAGAGTCTGAAACACTGGATCAGAGCACAGTATTTTTGTTGTCACACTTTGATTTTTGTTGTTGTTTTATACGTTTAATTTTTGTTTCATTTTTTCGCTGCAATAACTGGATTATAAGGAATTTCTGATAGTTCTTGTTTTGAATATGAATATAACCCAGCAGGTATTGTAAAAAAATAACAGAACCAAGACAGTGGTATATGCAGTTTCAACAGTTCACGGTGGAATTAATCATCTGCTACTGAGACAATGAAAAGTACATATCGTGTTTATTTGATATTCGTTAAATGATTTGTTGTGTGTTGTTGGTGGAGGCCAAGTAATGTATTAAGCTGTTAAATTTAGCAGTTTCTCTATTACATAAGCACAGCCACCGTTTAATGACTGAATGACTGAAAAATAGCGGTTCAAGGTAAGCTTGACTTCAACTCATATTACTTGAATTTCTAATCAAGTATTTACTGCTGAAAGTTTAACTTCTTAGTATTTCAAAAATAAACCCTTACACTGGCTTTGTGAGATGTAAAAAATGTGAAGATTATGTTGCTCACCTGCAAAGGTTTTTTCTTTTTTTCTTGTTCTTACATTTAAGTAAGTACATTTAACGACACGGCTCCTTAGATGCACATTGTTTATTTTATTTGCCCCCACATCATGTGGCCGTGATGAGCCACAGAGGTAGGGCTGATCAGTAACTTTAAGGCCAACACCTCAGGCCTAACCCTGAACTACTTCAAGCATAAATTAAGTCTGTTCCCTTGGGTTCATCTTTCATTAGCCACGGGTCATTTGTGCATTTCATGTGTGTTAATGTGCCACAGTAAGTTCC